TGTGGTGATGAAGATGCAGAGGAAAACTATTGCAGGCAACAGAGGGGCTGCATGCAAGGGACCATCACTGGGCCATTCTACTGGGCCTGGAATGTAGGAAGATGGTGCCAGGACATCACACTGGGAGTCATATTTGGAAGAATGTGGGGGTAAAAGTTTGACAGTGATAAGAATCTTATAGGCAAAGAAATAGGTCAAAATATTTCACCTGGAGAAACTTGAGTCCAAAATTAGAGTATAGCAAAATCAAGAGCAGGAAAGTGATATCCAAACCAGAACCTCTATGATTTGTTTGTTTTTTGGTAATCTTGCAAGATTGCTGAAAACTAGCATTTTGGGCTCTGGAATCACAGTCTGGATTTATTTCTACACTTATCCCAGCACCTTGGCCAACTCATATAACCCTTTTGAACTCCACTTCCTATTTATAAAAACAAAACAACAGCAGAATGGAATCCTCAACAGATCCAGGCAATTATGACCATCGGAAGAGTGACAATCAGGGCACCCAGGAGTCTAAGCAGGGAATGAAGAAACTGGGTCAGTGTGTGAGTGTCATTTGCAGAGTTGCTGGTAGCACTTTGGTGACAATTTTGGAACGAGTTTGGTACAGTGTACAATGAATGTTCCTGTTGGCATCAGACATTCTGATTCCTTACATAGGTATATGGAACAAAGTCTGACTAGTCCCCATTAAATTTGGCGGCAACACAAAACGAACTCCATGTATTTTGTTTTTGTGGGATTTTTGTTTAGTTTAGACATGTTTTTTTCTTGTTTTTGTTTGCTTGTTTTGATTCTCATTTTTGTGGTAAGGAAGCCTGCCTTCAAGAACCTGCTTGGTTTCCTGTTCTGACTGCCCTCAACGACGGGCTGTAACCTGTAGACTAAGTTGATTTTGGTTAGACTGTTCTTTATCACAGAGACTGAAAGGAAAGTATAACAAACTCCATTCTCAGACTCCAGGAAGCAAATTCCAAAGCAACACGACACTGAACTACGTGAAACGTGGGTGCATATGCGTGGCCTAGAGGTTTTTATATGGGAATGGCTAATGACAGCTTCCACCATCAAGATGTTCCCAGTTAAGGCACAAAAACATGGAATTTCTATCTTACTCTGCCCTGAAAATATCCAGAGCTCTATGGTATCAGGCTAAGGGACAATGTAGGCTGCCTCACAACCTCTTGCTTGCCTATTTCTTCAGAGGGGACAGTCTAAAGACTCCAAAATAAGAAAATAAAGGGGAAATGAACTCCAGACTGCAGAGAGGAGTTGGCACTGAGGGCTTCTCATTGTCGGGAGTTCAGAACATAAACAGTATGTATTATTGCATAATGGCATGGTATGTGTCTTGTAACATCCATTCTGGAACAGTCTGAAGTCTAGATACAACTGGTGGATCCTGAAGCAAAAGAGAAACTAAGGATGGATGTTTTGCAGTGAGCATGGCTAAAACCACGCTGGAAATCAAGTGTATCAGGGAAGGGTTCAGGGTTTAGAGTCTACTTTTCATGACACCCAGATTATGCACAGGTTCACAATCAAAAATGAATGGTTAAGAGTGATTCAAAAATAATTCTAAATTTTAATTGCAGTGTTTTGGAAACCATAAAAAGTCTTATTTAAGCCTCCATTGACATCACTAATTGACTTTTATCTCTAGAGACCCTCCTCTGCATTATAAAACAAGTACAAGGAAAGAATAAAAACCATTCAACCCATTTTTTTGTCAATTTTTCCTTCCTATTTCCCTTTCTATTTTCTTGAGTCATCTAAATGTAAATTAATTTCTCCATAAAGTCCTTCCTTTTATTCTTTGCACTTCAAGTACATTCTCTGCCTGCTTTCCCATTCTGTTACTAAAGAGAAACCCTAGCAAGAAGACAGATTTTTTTTTTTTTTTTTGTAGAGTAAGAAGAGAGCTTCACCAGCCCGTTAGTAACAGATTGGATTGAATTATGTCCCCATATTTATTCAACGGGCTGGATTCAGAAGAATTCCACAGAAAGAATGAGTTCACTGTGGTGGCCTTCATTGTCCTCGAGGCATCTCTAGACATGGGAAAACATGGTTAGGAGAAAGAAGCAGGCCTGTGCTTAATTTCTTTCCTCCCCCACCTTACCTTTCATCTCCTCCTCCCCCCCCACTCCTTTTTAGCCCCCATCCTCCCTTCACACCATCTGCGCATTATTCCTATCAACCAGCAGAAACATGTCCATAGACTGCATATGCAAGAACAGATCACATCCCCAAGCTGTGCATTGCCATGGGGTCTAAATTTTGCTTTGGGAAATAAATGGTGATCATGTGACACCTGTTGGTTGTGTCTGACAGTTTTGTAGACATGAGAGGTGATAAAGATACCCCTGGGAGAGGTTAAACCACACGGAAGGCTCACTCTCTGTGTACCCTCACCCTAGATACCCCCGGGAGAGGTTAAACCACACGGGAGGCTCACTCTCTGTGTACCCTCACCCTAGATACCCCCGGGAGAGGTTAAACCACACGGAAGGCTCACTCTCTGTGTACCCTCACCCTAGATACCCCCGAGAGAGGTTAAACCACATGGGAGGCTCACTCTCTGTGTACTCTCACCCTAGATACCCCCGGGAGAGGTTAAACCACACGGAAGGCTCACTCTCCGTGTACCCTCACCCTAGATACCCCCGGGAGAGGTTAAACCACACGGGAGGCTCACTCTCTGTGTACCCTCACCCTAGATACCCCCGGGAGAGGTTAAACGACATGGGAGGCTCACTCTCTGTGTACCCTCACCCTAGATACCCCCGGGAGAGGTTAAACCACACGGAAGGCTCACTCTCCGTGTACCCTCACCCTAGATACCCCCGGGAGAGGTTAAACCACACGGGAGGCTCACTCTCTGTGTACCCTCACCCTAGATACCCCCGGGAGAGGTTAAACGACATGGGAGGCTCACTCTCCGTGTACCCTCACCCTAGATACCCCCGGGAGAGGTTAAACCACACGGGAGGCTCACTCTCCGTGTACCCTCACCCTAGAAGCAGAAAGCCATCCCTTTCCTCCCTCCCGGAAAATCACACATTTCAGAAATAGCTGCTGAGAAGGAAGTGATTTTTTTTTCTCACAAGCTCACAGTCGATGGTGACGTAGGTTAAGCCAGGCTTTAGAAAGAGCAAAATTGGAAGAACATATCTGACTTACAAATTGGTGGCAAAGAATCAGAAAATTTCACGATATTCAATTTCATTTAATTGGCTGCTTTTTCCATGTAGACAGTCCCAGGCTCACCTCTGCCTCTGCCACACCTGCAAGGCTAATAGACCTGTCTGTGATCTTATATGTACAATATGCTCACCACTCCCAGAGAACTCAAAGTGCATGTTCTGCTTCAAATAATAGTGGCTGATTGGCTAGTCCCCGGGACATACAGTATGGTCATGTTTAATCAATGATAATGGGATTACAAGGAACGGCTCCCTTTAGCTCTCTGAAGCCCCTGTGTTCACACTGATAACATAAAATCTTCCTTTCACTCTATTTTTTTCCAATGAGAAAATTAATAACTGGTTGGAAACCTTAACTCTTATGCCATTCCATTGGTTACTTGAGAAGAGAAACAGTAGCATTAGATAAAATATATAAATAAAAGGCCAAGTCCCTGAAAGAAGATATCCTGGTAAGGAAGAAGACTGGCAGAATCAAAGCTTTTCCCATGAGAGAGAGAGAGATCAACAAGGACAACTGGTGGTTTCATGGATGGGAAAAGACTAGCTGCACACATAATGACAGCACTAGCATTTCTGAGTCATCAGTGACTAAAAATAAGGACATTGTTTTTCAATTTTCTTCCTCACTGGTACTCATGTGACTCCTTGAGTAGACCTAGTGGTGTCTTTGGGGGTATTTAGTTTCTTTATTCTGGTGGAAAATAAGTTCCAAAGTGTCTTTCAACTTGAAGATGGTAGAAATTCCCTGGTCCTTCTCATTACTGTTTTTCTGAACTTCACAGCTAACCAAATCCAGAGCTCCAGTGTCAGGTGTAACTTTAAAGACTAATTTTGTAAACTGGAAAGATGGGGTTGCATTCTGGAAAGATGGGGTTGTAGAAGATGTTACTATAATATGGCTGATGCCTTCTTAGGTTTGGCTGGAAACTAGGAAGATGGAGGCTGTGACTGGAGTCCATCAGTGAAACTTGGAAATGAAGTTTGCCAATACGGTGAAAGGTAAAGGCCAAACAGTGATGGTCGGGTATCCAATTTTGAGTAATATTCAACGATCATTAATGATAATGCTTGCTCCTACCCATGCTTTGCATTTTCCTACTACTTTCTTTGAATTCTTTGTATTATCTTCAAACCTGTGACTATATATTAAGCAGAGGATGAGTATGGGAGGTTGAACCTTGGCAATAAAGGGTATTGGTACCCTTGCTTTCATCAGTAATGTGATTTACATACAACATAAGAAAACTGTATTAGTTGCCCATAGGTGCCCAGGGAAACATTCTGATAAAAGATAATACATGGTAATAACTGGCTGGGAAGATTTGGTGAGACATGGCAAAGGAAGGAGTCTCATGCAGGAGAATTTCTGAAGTCTCATTCCTTTGGAGGCTTTGAGGCAACAGGAGAGGCTGCTCTTGACTGGTGGATGTTGGGGAAATGCAGGAAAGAAAAGGTGAAGCATCATCTGTGCTCCTGGAGCTCCCCAACCATCTTGAGGGTGTCACAAACCATCCACAGTAGTTAATTCCAAGAAGACTTACTTAATCATAACCAGACTCCATGGCACAACAATGAAGCAATAGGAATCTCTGGCCACCTAAAAAGCTGGCCTTCTCAAAGACACTTGTCAAGGAGGCAACATATATCTCTCAAACAATCACACAAGGAGCTCAAGGATCCTATGGGAAAAGCTCTACTGGACAGTAGTTGACAGAAAAAAGCCCCAGCCATATGCTAGTGCTAGGGGCATGGGGTCAGCAAGATCTTCCGGGCAGTGTCAAGACTCACCTCCTTTTGATGGTCAGCATCACACCCAGGAGAATGATGATGAACATGAGGAGGCCAGCGATCACACCTGCCATCTTCACCGTGTTGTCTACCTGCTTCTCTGGCTCCACAGTGTTAGAATTCTGCGTGGAAGCACCTTGGGAGGAAAACGGGAGGAGGAAGACATTAGAAAGGCTCACACGTGACCAGGCAATGGTGACAGTGAGAACAGTGTCTATTTATTAAAGCTAACTATGTGCCAGGCACTGTGCTGAGAGCTTCAGATACATTGTTCTACATAGTTCCCTCTGAGAACTAATTCCTTAAGAGGTTGGGATTACTATGATGTCCTCTTCAAGGTGAAGAAACTGACATTCTAAAGCAAAGAAAAGAGTTTCTCATACTTGCCATGTGAATAAAATAAGGTTTTATTCATTATGGTGCTTTGTTGTGAGAGTTCAATCCTTGGTTCACCAGTCAGTTCCTGGGCTCATAGAATTATGTTTCAGATTATGTAATGGAAATAATAGTTTTATGTTAAAGTAACACAGTTAAAACTACTTGTAATCTAAGGAATCTTTTGTTTTACTATTTTTTTTTATATAAGAAGCCAACAGTAGAGGAAAAAGTAGTGGATAAAAAGGAATTGCCTTGGGTTTAGAAAACATGATGAATTTCAGTTTGGGCAATTATGTAATACTGTATGCTAACCTTTTGACCTATTCTCTCTTGTAAAGGAAAGTATGAACTGACCACTTATGTCTTTAGACTGTGTGGGTGGTTCAGGGCTCTAACTTGGTCAATCACAAATAGTTCCAAAAACAGACATTGTTTTCCCAATTTTAGATATGGAAAAAAATACCAAAAAAAAGCAAAAAAAAAAAAAAACAAATGAAAGGCTTTTCTCGAAGTCACGTGGGTGATATTAATGTCAGGAACAATATTTCCCAGGTTGGTAACTTCAAACTTAGTCCTTAATGATGAGAAACTTTGAATATATCTCCCAAAGCCCCTTCCTCCTCATCCCTCATCTTCAAACAGCTGCTTTGCTTGCTCCATAGCAAAGTAAGTGAGCAAAGAGAGGCGGAGACCAGCCTCTTCATGAGTTTACTAAGGATGGAAGTCAATTTCCTGTCTCAGACATTCTGGAGGGTAGACCATGGGCTACCAGCATCCTAGGGTAATTTTCTCCTGCTGTCTTTATTTCCCCATTAGAATCACTTTTTTGGTTAGCAATTTAAAGTCAGAAGCACCTTTTCCCAAACTCATCTCTACTTTTCTGCAACATCAGCACCAGTTCATCCTTCATCAGCCAATATACCTTCTGTGGCCTCCTGTGCCTCTGGCAGAGTTTCTTTCTCCACTAAATTCTGATAACACTTTATAACAGTTTGAGGATACCTCACGGTCTCTCATACCACAATGTACCAATATTATTAGTTGCTTGTTTTCACATCTGTCTTTTCCACTGGTCTGCAAGCTCCTCGCGGGTAGCATTATGCCTCTTTTATCTTTGTTTCCTATGTTAGCACAGATCCTGACTCATAATAGGCGCTCACTAAATGTATGTGGTTTTCTGGTATTTGGCTAAAGGGATGATGTCTCTGCCCGCACACATTTGTCCTCATGGAACCAAATTGAGTTTTCTCTTGCTTTTAGTCATGTATTCATAGAACTTAGCTGAGCACTGAATTGAAGGGTTGCTTTTCAACACAAAACTTCGAATCTGATTCCCCAAACTCCCTGCTGCTTAAGTGCAGGCCTCCAGCACATTGATACTTTTCAATTTTTTTTTTGTTTATGTGTGTAGAGTACATATTCTCTCCAGGCACTTTCCCCAGATTTTAGTTAACTCTGGCGAGTTGGTTTACTTAGCTGAGTGCCCTGGGTGGGAATGGGAAGCCTTTAAGAGCAGGTGCTGTGTCTTTTTCATCGCTACAATGTCAGTGTTGACCAAAGGACTCCTCCTCACAGTCACTGTGAAGGTTGTGGGGACATAAAAATGCACAGGCCAGAATCACTTATTTATTAATTCAGTCATGCGTCTTTAGCTGCCGTGTGTCCAAGTGTTGGGTCCAAACTATAATCTCTGTAGGGTCAAAAAACATTTTCATAGAAGCCATTAAAGGTGAAATATTTTATTCATTACTTCTGCCAGATAAAGGCAAGACCAATTCATTCAACTCCAGGGCTGTCTGACAAGGTTCTGCCATTCTGCAGCGCACTGACTTTCTGATGCATGTGGGGATAGCCAGTGCATCTTTAGTCAGGACAGTCTGATATTGCAGAGTGGGGGTACTTCCGAGGAGTCCTAAATAGCCTCTATTTATGAGATTGAAGGTATGATTTCTAGGAAAAACTTAGTTGATAAAACCAAGACCAAAGGAAAGAGAGCACCTCAGATCACAAGGCCCCCAATGCTGACAATTTTTATATTCAGAATTAGAGCAAAGGTTGGCTCTAGATCATGGCATCATTGATGGAGTTATCTGTACTTAGTACCTGTTCTGGAGTGCAAGGCTGAAGTGCCCTAAGAGCCTCTTCCTATGTAATATCCCTGTTGTCACTGGTCTAATGAGACTCATATCTCATGCCTTAGGTATGTAAACATCTACTAGTGGCAGGCATCTGGAGACATCGTGGTAAGCAAACATAGTCCCTGTCGTCAGAGAATTTGTGCTCACTGGTATGTGTAACCCTGTGAGGACATACTTAATCAATCAATAATTGGTAATGGCAACTGTAGTTTGAAAGAAAAATGGCCCCCAAAGGGAGTAGTACTATTAGGAGGTGTGGCTTTGTTGGAGTAAGTGTGGTTCTGTTGGAGAAAGGAAGTGGGCTTTGAGGTCTCTTATATGCTCAAGTCATGTCCACTGAGACAGATGACTTCCTATCACCTGCACGTCAAGATGTAGGGATCTCAGCTACTTCTCCAGCATCAAGTTTGTCTATTAGGGGGTGTGGCCTTGTTGGAGTAGGTCTGGTTCTGTTGGAGGAAGTATCACTGTGGAGACAAGCTTTGAAGTCTCATATATGCTCAAATCATGTCCAATGAGACAGGCCACTTCCTGTTGCCTGCAAACCAAGATGTAGGAATCTCAGCTGCATCTCCACCACCATATCTGCCTACAGGCCACCATATCACACCATGATGATAATGGACTAAACCTCTGAAACTGTAAGTCACCCCAATTAAATGCTTTTTCTCCTTTTGTAAGAGTTACCATGGCCATAGTGTCTCTTCACAGCAATAGAAATCCTAACGAAGATAGCAACTTTCAGCTTTGTTAAGGGTTTGCACAGAGGCACATGACCCCTTGGAAAGAGGATAACAGGGAAGTAAGTCACTTCTGGGAGGAAATGACCAGCAGGGTGAGTTCCAAGGAACCTAGTGTATGCCAGATATGTAGTGTTTAAGGGGTCAAAAGATGAGAAAGAAGGCAAAGAAAGATGCTGGAGAGGGAAGCAGGAGCTAGTTCACACATGGCACTGCAGGCTATGATGATGGTTTTGGTCCATAGCCCAAGCTAAACAGACAGTCATCTAAACACGCGTGTGCTCATGAGTCAGATTTGTGCTTCTAGCACATCATCCCAGCATCAACATGGAGCCAAAGTAGCTTGGAGAAATGAGTTTGGAGATTATCGTAGGCACCCAGGTAGAAGATGATAGTAACAAAGACTCAAGAAATAGCAGTGGAGATTCGGAGATGCAATAAAAAGGATAATTACCTGAAATAAACACAGTGAAAACTGACGATAAATGGAGCAAGGGGAATAAAGGAGAACAAAATTACAAGGGCGGCCACAGGTTTTGGTTTGTGTGACATGGTAGATGATAGGGGGATTTATGGCTTCGAGAAACCGCACAAAAAGAAAACCTAGAATGAACCCTGCTTGAGTTTAGAGTAATTTGAGTGGCAAGGCAGGTGGCTGAAAGAGTGACTCTAGAGCTCTGGGGGGAACTCTGAGCTGCAGATAAAAATATCAATTCTTAAATATCCACAGACAGTATCTGTAGCATAGGAGTTAGTGAAACTGCCTAGGAAGGGCATAACAAGTAAAAGAAGAAGCAGGCCTTGACAAGAGACTTGTAGCTCAGTAGTGTCCAGGGAGTGGGCAGAGGCAGACAAACTTGCAGACAAAACTCATCTAGGCAAGGAAAGCAAACCCAGCTGAGTATGGTGTCCTAGAACCAACAGAAGATGAATTTCTAGAAGAAAGGCATGTGTTTCCAGGGAAGAATCAGGGCCCATGCTCCAAGGCAAGTGAAGGTCTTAGTTAAGTGTTAGGAAACCTTTTCCCAAGACCAAGATGATTTTGATAGAAGCCCCTTCAGCAGTGACCAGGGCCAATCATTAGTATTCACCCGATGGTCACAGAGAAGCATCCAGATTCTGGGCAGTCATGTGAAAAGTGACAGCCCAATAGTTTAGAAAAGTTCCATGAGTTTAAGCCAAAGGTCTCAGAGCCGAAAGCATGGACTACACAGTGAGGTTATTAGGGGCAACTATGCTTTCCTGATCCACTCAGGCTCAGATACGACTACAAGAATTTGCAGAAAACTCAACGTTCACTTAAGCATTCTCTAAGATAATTTTCAGGAGTTGCTAGGGACTTGCTTTCCTGCACATAAATGAATGGCATTGGCAATTCAAAGGTGACAGACATATGGAGAGAATGACTCTAGAGAAAAAACAAGATTTCTATGTGACCCAATAGGGATAAGAACATGGGAAGTACCAGTGACACTTCCGTTGGGAGTCAGAGTTACGTGCTCAGGGCTGGCACTGGAGATGCTTGGTGATCGGAATGAGAACTGAGTTCAGAGATACAGGGAAGCACGCAGGGCTGGCTTCTCATAGGACCACGAACCACAATGGCCATCATTCCACACGTGCCACAACCAAGGCTGGTAAATCAAAGGCTGCCTACTTGACTCAATGTCCCAGCAATCCAAAGAGGGATATTCCAAGAGGTAGAACTGGTAGACTCCTCCAGAGAATTACTTAGCCTCAGTTTCAGTCCCTGACAGACCCAGTCTCTGACCCTGATGACTTCTGCCTTTCAGTCCAGAATTGGGAGGAAGGAGGAAGGGAATTTGGTTACATCTTCTTCACCCTTGGCTTCCCCAGGACCCAACCTGAGCACAATCCAA